AAGAGTCAAGCTAGTAATCCATATTTTGTAATCATTTTACTCTAATCTTCACTTATATAGTGAATATTTTAATTAAAAATTGTCCTGGAAGTTGAAAATTATGTGCCTGTCCATTTTTCAATTAATATGCTGTTAAAATTTTTGGTGTAAGGAAATTATCATTATCGATTCGAGTATAAGCTCGTCAAAATCGGAGACCGTTTGGTAACTCAAATTGCGGTTTGAACCTTCCAACAACGCTTCGGGTCCATGATTCAGACCCATTTGGGCTCGGATTGGGTCGAATTTGGTGTCGTTGGGTTCGTATTTCCGAGACTCTCAGTTTGACTATAAGCTCGCTGAAATCGGAGTTCAAATGCTCTTGAATTTAATTTTTGAAGTTTCCGGGTAGGTTTTTGCCTCGAGATTCGTGCCCGATCAAGATAATTTTATGAGAATATATCACTACTATTGGGAGATGATAGTTGATAGCAATGTCAATATTGGTGGCGAAGTATGATGACAGTGAGGCAATAATGGTCGAGCCACAGTCGTTGCTAGTGGCGATCACTGACTTCGATCAAACTATAGAGTTTTAAAATTCTTCAGTGCTCTAATATCTCTCTAATTTTAGGTCAAAATCTTCTTTATGTGATAATATGAGGGGCTATTTAAAGATTTTTATTAATGTTATTTTAATTATTTTAGCCAAACAACCTCTAATATTCTATTTGACCAGGCACATTGATTATTTTGATAATAGTCAGCTCATTAAACATTTAAGATATTATAATCGACTGATCTTAGGCCCATTAATCTTTTTTTCGTAAAATTACGTAAAATTCAAAGATCGTTCAGCGCTTCAAATATTATTGCAAAAATTTCAACTATACCTTCATGACTTGATTTAAATTTATTTGACAATAAATTTGTTCTAAATAGAATTTAAATTATCTCAAAGTTGTTCATAAAAATTTCGAATTCATATATTTATATCAAAATTAGTGTTTAATCGGTTGAACTTTTTATAATGGCTCAGTAATTTATTTCAATCAAACCCAGTAGCCATCCCACGGTTGCGAACAATTATTAGGTCAGGTGACCTGATGTAGCTCTACGTTCATACGCTAATAATATTTCGCCACGTCTTCTTACTTTTTATCACGCGGCCCGAAGACCTGATCGGAACCGGAACCCAAAATTGCTATGTTCACGTATTGCTTGGTTACTAGGTATTGCTTGGCAAAAACAAGAAATACCGCTCTATGAAGACCAATACCGAGGAAATGCTCGGTATTGGTCTTCACAGAATGGTATTTATCGTTATAGCCGAGCAAAATCGACCAATACCGAGCAATACCTAGCAATACGCCAACATAGCAATCCCGGGTCGGGTTGTCGGGCCGCGTGGTAAAGAGTAAGAACACGTGACACTATTTTACTGGTGTCCGAACGTAGATCTACGTTAGGTGACCGAACCAAATAAAAGTTCCACGGTTGCAGTTAAAAGGCTATAAGCTGTGGCTTTGAAATCGCTTCTGCTAAAGTGTAATCAAACACTAAGCTAAGTAAAGCCGATTGTTATAGTTATGACATTAAGGTAATTGAAATGGTTCCTCCTTTTTATCCTTTATCCTTTTTTTTTTTCTTTCTAAAGAACAGCCTTTTAAAACTTCTTTAAATGATCTGACATCATCCCTTGTAGTGGAGAATAAAGATCAGACGCTCGAAAAATGTTTTGTTTTGTTTTTTGTTAATTTTTTTCTTAATAATTATTCACTATTGCATTAAATTAAAAAATATATAAAATAATAATATCATCCTTAAATTCGACCTTCATACTAATGATCTCTTTACATTAGCAGCACAATTTTTTTACATAGATTTTTTTTTTCTGGAAAATAAAAATGATGAGGCATTTGTTCAATTTAGATTTCATTTGGGACTATTTTTAAAATGCTTCTTAAAATAATTTTTTAGTACTAAAAAATAAAGTTTTCGTACTAAAAACTATTTTAAGAAGCAGTAAGAATGCCATCCCAAACGAAATCTTAAATGACTGTAATCATATAGTAAATAAAAGCTCTTCAGATTTTTTTCTTATTTTCTTTAAATCAAAGACTTTCTAACAAATTAAGGTTTTGTTTGGGACAGCTTTCTTACTGTTTCAAAAGCAATTTTTTTAACAAAAAATTTTAGTTCAAAAAAAATTTATAATAAAAACAGTTTAAAAAAATTATAAAAAAGCTATCCTAAATGAAGCTTTAAGTAAAATATCATGCATCAGAATTATCAAAGAGCTCACTCCGCCGCACCATCATCGACGGATAATCTAAACACTCCAATAGCTTCATTATTAGCAAACAGTTATGGTCAATTCAATTGTTCTTCATTTCAATTATAGCCAAATTCAAATTAAATAAATTCAAATTTACAACATTCTCACCCATAAGTTGCATGAGAAATATCCACATATGTTAAGCTCAACTTAAAATCTTACTCAATTTCTGCGCTTTTATCTAATCATTAACAGTTCTATGGAGTAAGGATGAACAACTAAATTTGACTAAATTTAGTTAACATGACTAATCCTCCGTGATTATTATCTTAATAAAAAAATGCCAGGATTTGTTATTGCCTCAAAGCCAAATTTTAGAACTTTTATTTTGATCTTATCTATACAGAAAACTGAAAACAAGATAAGCTTATTAAACATCTAACTACAATATATTTAAAGGAGCATTCTCCTCTGTAAAATACCAGTGCCTAATACAGAAAGAAAGAAAAAAATGAAAGAGATGATCAGCAGATTAACTATTTTGTTCTCCCTTCTACTTATCATTTCAAACATTCCTCACAGTCTGCAGGAAGAAGTCACCATTTCCGTCCAGTCTGTGACAACTATAGCGAGGACAGATTGGAACTTCATCTGTGCAACTTTGGATTGGTGGCCTCCAGAGAAATGCAACTACAATATGTGCCCATGGGGAAAGTCTTCCATTATTAACCTGGTATTTTAGTATAAAATGTATACCATAATCAATATAATTTAGAATGCATGTGCATGTTAGAGGAGTAATTATTTTATGCGGACGCCGGACATGATCTAGAGCCCAATAAAAATGTGTCACGTCGACGGTACTACTCGGTACTGTAGCTTGGTACAGCTTGTTACCAGGTGACGTGACGCATTTTCATTGGGCTCTGGACTTTAGTTGTGTCATGTGTCCGCACAGAATAATTTTTCGTGATAGAGAGTGTGGATCAAAGAATATTTTTTTTTGAGCCTTAAACATTATCAGTAACAATTGGCTCAACTCTTTTTGGTTGCAGAACTTGAATAATACTATTCTGAACAATGCTATTAAAGGTATAGCTATGGGATCTGAAGGGATTTAACTTCACTTCGGTATGCATATTATAGTAAGATAGGTGAATTACTGGTATTCATTTCAAATTAAATGCAGCTTTCAGTTCCTTAAGGATAAGGTTGGGTGGCTCTCTTCAAGATCAAGTCATATACAATGTTGGGAGAAATTTACCCCCATGCCACAGTTTTGAAAAGTTGAAAGAAGGGCTCTTCGGTTTCTCTACTGGATGCCTTGACATGCCCAGATGGGACAAGCTCAATGAAGTACTTAGCAAAGCTGGGTAACGATCTTATCTTATCTTCGTGAATGAATATTGACAAATTAGTATAACACAATTTTGATATGTGTGATACACATGCGAATTTATACTGCATGGCAACACACAGAGAAAAATGATTATTTTTGTATAAGTGTGAAGATGATTCAGGCTTTGTTTAGGATGGCTTTCTCCTTATTAGGGGTGTCAATTTCAGGTAACGGGTCAGGTTTGAGTCAACCCAGAATTGATCCGGCATAATTCGGATCAACCCGAACCCGATCTGTTTTTACAAACGGGTCGATTTTTTAGACCCGAACCCAACCTGCTTCAGGTTCGGGTCAACCTGTCACTACCCATTATCCACTGCAAGCGGGCAGCGGCGCGGGTTCACAGCGGGAAGTGGTGGGCAGACGGGCAGCGGCGCTGCCGACAGCGGCGAGGCGGGCAATTCTGCGGAGGGCAAGCGGGCAGCTGCGCGGCATGCAGACGCAACACGCGACACTCGAAGCGATGCCGGCAGCTTCGGTCAGGGCTGGCAACGGATCATTCCGGGTCATTATCGGGTTTTCTGGTCAACCCGAACCCGACCCGGTTCGGGTTTGGATCAACACGAACCCGAAATTTCAGGTCGAGTTCGAGTCAGGTTTTCGGGTCGTGTCCAATATTGACACCCCTACTGCTTATTAAGACTATAAGATTTTGTTTGGGACAACTTTTTTATTGCTTCTTAAAACAACTTTTTAGTATAAAAATTTTAATTTTTTGTCTAGAAAGCTACTTTAAGAAGTATAAAGAAAGCCGTCCCAAATGGAGCCTAAAGCAACTTTTTAGGAAAAAATTAAAATTTTTGTCCTAAAAAACTGCTTTAAGAAGCAGTAAGAAACCTCTCCCCAATAAAACCATAGGTTTCATTTGGGATGACTTTCTTACTGCTTCTTAAAGCAGCTTTCTAACACAAAAACTAAAAAGATGCTTTAAGAGACAGTAAGAAAGCCATATCAAACGAAGCTTTAATCTCATAAGACAACACAACACAACACAACACAACAGCAACCATTACCAAACAAAGCCTTGAATCATTTTTCCAAACTTTCTATATCTAATTTGAGCTTTTGTGATAGGATCAATTTTGATGCCATTCAATGTAAAATTATGGTGATTCTGTATATGTTTTTTTGATGGATAATTTGCAGAGCTGTGTTAACCTTTGGGCTCAATGCACTCTATGGTAGAGCAAAAGTTCCATCAACAAGCCTTTATGTTGGTGATTGGGACTCCACCAATGCTCGTGAACTTATTAACTACACCATCTCAAAGAATTATAAGATTGATTCCTGGGAGTTAGGTATTCTTTGAACTTTTAAACTTACCCATGAATCATAATTAATTCTGAATTGCAAAATGTTTTTTTTTCTAAGAGTAAGAATGTTCCTCTTTATTGAGAAAGTCTGAACCAAAATACTCACATAATTACATCAATTAGGATGAATTATTCTATGCGGACACCAGATGGGAAAACTGCCCGATGTTCTCTTTGCGCTTTTACTGTAGATAGAGAGAAAACCGGACGATTCTCTTCGTTCGGTGTCCGCACAGAATAATTTCTCATCAATTAGAGGAGTTAAGTTGTTTGCCTCCAACGATTTATCATTTTTCTTCTTCTAATTACAATTTGTTTTGTACATAAATAGGAAACGAGCTATCGGGAGGTGGGATCGGTGCGAGGGTTGAAGTTGAACAATATGGAAAGGATTTGATTGCGTTGAAGGCTCTTATTGATGAATTATACCAAAAATCTTCCTCAAAACCGAAGATTTTAGCTCCTGGAGGCTTCTTCGACCAAGCCTGGTTTAATAAAATGCTTCAAATCACAGGGCCTGATGTTGTTAATGGTGTGACACATCACATCTACAACCTTGGTGGAGGTTAGATAGTTCTTCAAATATATATATTTTTTACATTATTATAGAAGATGATACTTATTTGAATAATATTGACAAAGCTTTTCTTCTCCCCTTTTGTTGCCTTCTCATATTCTAGGAGATGATAAAGGAATACTGCAGAAGATCTTGGATCCTTACTATCTCGATTATATAGTTCAAACATTCAAGAATGTGGCTCTCACAATCAGAAACTTTGGGCCATGGAGTTCTTCATGGGTTGGTGAAGCTGGAGGTGCATACAATAGTGGAGCCAAAGGCGTTTCAAATACTTTTGTCAATAGCTTTTGGTGAGAAGCTGCTGCGTTGAATCTATAGTTTTCTTTAATAAAATGGGTTTAGTTTTTTACTTAATATAGTTCATCATTTTTTTTCCTAGAATGCATAACAATTATGCTTGCTCACGGAGCAACCTTAACTCATCAATTAACATAAGAAAATATGTTATTTATAAGCTTTTATGCTTGCATATAAGCTTCGTTTGGGACGGTTTTTTTACTGTTTCTTAAAGCAGTTTTCGAGTACAAAAATTTTAACTTTTGTACTAGGAAGTTGTTTTAAGAAGCAGTAAGAAAGCCGTCCCAAACGAAACCACAGTGTATTTCATAACTAGATTTTTAGTTTATGTAATTACAACTATTTTCTAATTAATTTGTTCTCGATCCTAATTAATTGCATTCATGAAGAAACTTTTGTATCTATTGATTAAACATGACTTGAGTTTTGTTTGGGACAATTTTTTTATTGCTTTCTAAATCATCTTTTTAGTACAAAAAGTTTTAGTTTAAAAAATTTTTGTACTAAAAAATGATTTTAAGAAACAATAAAAAAGCCGTCCCATACAGAGCCTTACTCTCAAAGTGTCTCACATCGGTTTGTATTTTGAATATTTTTCTTGTAGGTACTTAGATCAGCTTGGTATGGCATCAGTGTTTGGCCATAAGGTCTACTGCAGACAAACTTTGATAGGAGGGAACTATGCTCTTCTCAATACTACAAATTTTAAACCTAATCCTGATTACTATAGGTCAGCTTATTTCTTTGAATTCATTCAATATAAATTCTTCATTTCACTATAAATATTTTAATCATGCTCAAATTTTACAAAGTATTTGAAAATATTTGGTGTCGGTAATATATATATTTTTAAATAAATTACTACTCCCCCCGACGCTTAGATGGCTAACAATATTCATAACTAATGATAATTATTTACTAAGTTTTATTTTAAATAATATCAGCAATTAGTCACTCTTCTTTAAAAGAAAGAATTATAATGTCAAAAGTGTGACTAAGGTGCTATTTGATTGGCTTAAAAGGGAAGACATTGTAAAATAAATACAAATGATTATTTTTGTTGTTTGGATTGAAGTAAAATGTGTGGTATTAATTACAAATATGGTGGTGGTTAATGGCCGGTGGTAGGGCGTCGATGGTGGCCGACAACAACGGTGGGAGGGAGATAGCTGGCGGCAACCAGAAATGTGGTGATGGCAAGCGATGGTGGTGGGCAACGATGATGAGGGCCGGTGGTTGGCGGAGACTAATATCGGGCTGTGGCCAGAGGTGCGCGGCGACCCTTGGCGAAAAATTTCAATGGCTATGGTGGCAGCTTGAGATAGGCACCGACAATGATAATGAATTTATATTACATTTGGAGATCGTTCAAATTTGAGGAATCTCAAATACACCAAAATTGAATTGGAAGATGAATTGCAAATGCATCAAAATTTTACGCTGTATTTATTTTACTTCAAATTAAATACAGATATTTTCAAAACCTTTGTATTTGAAATACTTTATACCCATTTTACTTCAAACCAAGTAACCACTAAAAATATTATTTCAAAATTTTGAACTAAACTATTACTAAAAACTATTGTTTAATCATTAAAAAAAAATGATACCATAACTTAAATTCTAGCAATAATTAGAAAATTTTGGGCAAGATTATCCTAATCCTCTACTTTCTTCATCAGTGCCTTGTTGTGGAGCAGATTGATGGGACCAGAAGTTCTACAAACCCTTCATGACGGCTCTCCATATCTGCGAGCATACACTCATTGCGCTAAGAACAAGGCAAGGACACCAACTCGATCAATAGGCATTTTCCCATATTAGTATCTATTTTTTATACAAATCATGCTACTAAGAATTAGGGCTTTCACAGCCGGAATATTGAGCTTTAGGCATTTTTTTAGGACGGTTTTTTTATTGCTTCTTAAATCAATTTTTTTAGTATAAAAATAAAATATTTTGTAATAAAAAGCTGTTTTAAGAAGCAATAATAAAGCTGTGGGACAGCTTTTAAAATAAATTTTTAGTATACAATTTTTTTAGTTTGTACTAAAAAAATTGATTTAAAAAATATTAAAAAAGTTGTTCCAAATAATTAGCAGCCGTTTAAAGCTTCATTTGAGACGACTTTCTTGTTGCTTCTTAAAGCAGCTTTCTAGTAAAAAAAATAAATACTAAAAAGCTGCTTTAAGAATCAACAAAAAAATCATCCCAAACGAAGTATAAATCACTGCAAAAAGGCTTGCAGAGGTTTTGAAACCCTACAAAAATGTTGCATTTGTTTTCATTACAAAGACATTTCACAGCTGTTTTTGCACCACAACAACAACATCAAGCCTTTATCCCACTACGTGGGGTCGGCTACATGAATCATTTTTCTCCATTGTGTCATATTAAAGGTCAAATTCTCGTTTAAATCTAATAAAGAAGGTCATTCGTAATATTTTCTAACCAAGTCTTTTTTAGGTCTGCCTCTACCTTTCTTAACATAAGTCAAATCTAACACCTCTATTGTCCTAACCGGGTCATTGGAAGGCCGCCGTTTTATGTGACCAAACCATCTAAGGCGCCGTTTCATGTTTTTGCACCGCTAGTTTTTATTTTTATTTTTATTTTATTTAATTTTTAATTTTTATTATTTTTTTTATTTTTAGCACACCGCTAGTTATCATGGCAGAATATTTTGCATCCTTCATAATCATATTTACCTAATTTATTGTATTAAATGATTACATATTTATATTTCTTGTGCAGGCTGGTGTTACTATGTTGCTGATTAATCTATCCAACTCCACAACTTTTAATGTTTCAGTAAAAAATGATATGAATTTATATCCACCCAAAATGGGAAAAATTTCAACAAGTGAAATTCTGGAGCAAGGAGAAAGAGAAGAGTACCACTTGACACCAAAACATGGCAAGAAATAATTTTAAGAAACAATAAAAAAGCCGTCCCATACATACAGAGCCTTACTCTCAAAGTGTCTCACATCGGTTTGTATTTTGAATATTTTTCTTGTAGGTACTTAGATCAGCTTGGTATGGCATCAGTGTTTGGCCATAAGGTCTACTGCAGACAAACTTTGATAGGAGGGAACTATGCTCTCCTCAATACTACAAATTTTAAACCTAATCCTGATTACTATAGGTCAGTTTATTTCTTTGATTTCATTCAATATAAATTCTTCATTTCACTAAGTATTTGAAATATTTGGTGTCGGTAATATATATTTTTTTAAAATGAAAGTACTACTCCCCCCGACGCTTATATGGCTAACAATATTCATATATAATGATAATTATTTACTACGTTTTATTTTAAATAATATCAACAATTAGTCACTCTTCTTCTTTAAAAAAGAATTATAATGTCAAAATTGTGACCAAGGGGCTGTTTGGTTGGCTTAAAAGGGAATACAGTGTAAAAGAAATGCAGTGTATTTAAAATTATTTAGATGAGTGTAAAATAAATAAACATGATTATTTTTGTTGTTTGGATTGATGTAAAAAAAAAAAATGTGGTGTTTATTACAAATATGGTGGTGGTCAATGGCCGATGGTAGGGTGTCGATGGTGGTCGACAACAACGGTGTTGGTTAGTGTCTAGTGGCTGGCAGCACCCAGAGATGGGGTGGGCAGTGATGGTAGTGGACAACGACGACTGGTAGCCGGTGGAGACCGATAGCATGGGGTAGACATAGGTTGGTGGTGACTCGCGATGACAAATTTCAGCAGCGACGCGCGGCAATTGGAGTCCGGCAGTGGCAATGATAATGAATTTATAATATATTTTGAAATAGTCCAAATTTGAGAAATCTCAAATACACCAAAATTGAATTGGAGGGTGGATTGCAAATGCATCAAAATTTTATACTGCATTTATTTTTCTTCAAATTAAATACCAATATTTTCAAAACCTTGTCTTTGAAATGCTTTATACCCATTTTACTTTAAACCAAATAGCCCCTAAAAATATTAGTTCAAAATTTTGAACTAAACTATTACTAAAAATTATTGTTTAATCATTTATAAAAAAAAGAGACCATAACTTAAATTCTAGTAATAATTAGAACATTTTGAGCAAGATTATCCTAATCCTCTACTTTCTTCATCAGTGCCTTGTTGTGGAGCAAATTGATGGGACCAGAAGTTCTACAAACCCTTCATGACGGCTCTCCATATCTGCGAGCATACACTCATTGCGCTAAGAACAAGGCAAGGACACCAACTCGATCAATATGCATTATCCCATATCAGTACCTATTTTTTATACAAATCATGCTACCAAGAATTAGGGCTTTACACAACTCTTTTTGGCCTATTGGTTGAGAGTTTAGGCTTCCAACTAAGAGATCCAGGATTCGAGTCGTTGTGTATGCGTTGTGTGTGTGAGTTTGCCTTTAATGGCCTAAATGTCCCCAAAAAAAAAAAAGAATTAGGGCTTTCACAGCCGGAATATTGAGCTTTAGGCTTCATTTAAGAAGGTTTTTTATTGCTTCTTAAATCAATTTTTTAATATAAAAATTTAAAAACTTACTTTAAGAAGCAATAATAAAGCAGTCTCAGATGAAACCTTGCTTCTTAAAGCAGTTTTTTAGTATAAAATTAAAAATTTTGAACTAGAAAACTATTTTAAGAAGCATACAGAAAGCCGTCCCAAACGAAGCCTTAGATTTTGTTTGGGACAGCTCTTTAGTAGCAGTTTAAATCGACACAAAAAAGCTTGAGAAGGTTTTGAAACCCTACAAAAACGTTGTATTTGTTTTCATTACAAAAACATTTCACAACTATTTTAGCACCCCTAGTTTTTTATTTTTAGCACCGCTAGTTATCATGGCAGAATATTTTGCATCCTTCATAATCATATTTACCTAATTTATTGTATTAAATGATTGCATATTTCTATTTCTTGTGCAGGCTGGTGTTACTATGTTGCTGATTAATCTATCCAACTCCACAACTTTTAATGTTTCAGTAAAAAATGATATGAATTTATATCCACCCAAAATGGGAAAAATTTCAACAAGTGAAATTCTGGAGCAAGGAGAAAGAGAAGAGTACCACTTGACACCAAAACATGGCAAGCTTCAGAGCAGGGTAGTTCTTCTTAACGGGAAGCAGTTGAAGCTCACACACACCAAAGATATTCCCGAAATAAATCCAATCTCTTCTGGTCCTCATCCAAACGCTACTGTGCAGATCTCTCCTCTCTCAATTCTCTTTGTTAGATTTAAAGACTTTCGTGCTCCAGCATGCCCTGTAAAGAATTAGGGTATCAGGATTTATGCAGCATGTATATGCATCTATCTAATCCTATAATATTTACTTTATATCTTTGTTTCATGGTAATTAAGTGCTTACCAAATTGGAAAAAGCTTATGAGAAGAAACAGATTTTGTTAGGAAGTGCTCTTAGAAATTTAATGCTTTTTCAGCGGTCCAAACACAATTCACAAGAAGAATTATAAGGAATAATGAGAGCAAAACCTTTTTGTTTGATGAAATAAGGAAGGAAACAAATGGGATACAATGGATCTTCTATTGAAGAGAAAGATCAGGCTCTTCCAAATCTCTAGCCATCGGCTAGAGCCCAAACACATTAAGAGCAATCTAATTTCAGCAAAACATACATATGTAAACTTGAAAGTACCCTATTATCAGCCTTAAGTAGACTATCCTAATTCCCTTCCAAATCAGCACACTTTTCATAAATAATTCCTTCTCATATTTGAATTCAGATCAGATCTCTTACTTTAAATAATTCCCTCACAATTATAATTAAAACTTTCATAAATAATTTCCCTTTGATTAAGAGCTTTTATAAACCACTCTCTCTTGATTATAAAACTTCATAATCTCCTCTCAATAAAATCGGCCAGTTCATCAATACTCTCATCCCAAAGACCCACCTTATTTGCAAGGTGGAAAGACGACTCCTTCCTCAATTTCCTCGTCATCACAAATGGTGAGAACCTAAAGAGTTTGCTCCTTAAACTTATGCTCCAGTGTATACATCTCCTCATATATGAAACACAGCCCCTTCGCCCTCTTTTACTGTAACTCAATTTCTATGAGTTTCTTGAAGCTTTCCCTAGGTCTCCCTGTTACAGTCTTCTCCTTCAAGATCTCCCTAAGAATAGTCGGTGTTGACTCTTTGGATGCCAGAAAGGCGATGGTCATCCGATACGAACCTCCTGAGTTACTGCCTCCAACTCTTCTCTACAGGTGCCTTAGTGTACTTTAGTAGCTGATAAAAAATAGTTGTTAGCATGATTCAAGCAATGATTAGCGTGGAGAAAAAAAAGTCAAGTGACTGAGTGACGAGCTTAGTCATTTTCTTAATAAAATGGAAGAATGAATGATTGAGAAGATGAATATTGATGATTTATTTGATGTAGATAAGTGTCTGATGATGACGATAAATGAAAAATATCAATACTCAAGCAACATGCAACTACAAAATAATCTCTTGGATTCCCAAAATCTCCAAAGGCTTGATCTCTACCACTATACCAAATCCCAAGTGCTCAACATAAGGACCATATGGCCACACTCTTCTTGCTCCTAAACATTGTCATCACATTTTCTTTTTTTACTTCCTGCCCATTCTCTTGAGAACAACCATAACCCTACACTTACAAGTTTAGCACATTTTGGATGGGAAAATTTTAATTTTTGTACTAGAAAACAACTTTATGAAGCAGAAAGAAAACAGTCCCAAACGAAGCCTTAGTCAAACCACTATAAATATCATGTTCCTTGATTGTTTGGGCCTTCACTTGTTGGTGTCATCTATTCATTACATGTAATTCCTTAGTAAATTGGGTTAAACATTTTCCTTTCCTTTATGAACTCCATAGCAACTTAGTTGACACAAATACATAATATTATATATCCATGTAATGAATCTAATGAAATAAAAATTAATCTCAAATTATTTTACTGATGAAAATATTATAATTAACTAAATAAAAAATCAATCAATAATTAAAAAAATATAAAACCATTTTAGCAAATTTAATAAAATTGGTAGGGAATTTAGCATGACACAAATTTAGTAAACACGTGAGAAATTAAGATCATAGAAATATAAAAAATTTGTTTGATGACTAATAATTATATGATTAATAATATAATTAAGCTATTCCCTTTATAATCTTCTTTGCACACTTGTATCACTTGAATAGTCTATTTTGAACTCATCTTCAAGTTAGAAAGGCTTCAAATAAGCACTAAAGAGCTCATGGGACTAATATAATAGCTTTCCAATATATATATTTTGTGGAATATTTAGACCAATTAAGATAAACTCACACACCTTTTACTGATTTCTTACCTCTTGAGAGTAATCTTTTTGTTCTCTTTTTTTTTTTAATAAACTGAATTAAGGCCTTCAAATTCCCCCCCAACCTAAAGAGTATTTTGCAACCCTAAAAGAGAATTGAAAGTGCGCAAGCTGTATAAAGCTTTTGGTAGAGAGATGCAGATACAGAATAATGCTTTCATCGAGTCTTTGCACCTTCTCATAAAAATCAAACTTATACCCACCGCTGTTTGTCCGGGTGGTGAAGAGCCGGCTGGGCAAAGCCTAGGTCTCGGATTCAAATCCCTTGGCAAGCAGTGAAAGCCTTAAGTGTTGGCCCGTGTAAATTGGTGTGGGTTGCATGCTAGGTCGACCGGGGTTTTTCCGGGCCAAAGGACAAAGCTTCCCCTCCAAAAAAAAAAAAAAAAAAAAAAAAAAATCAAACTTATGATGTGATGGATATTTAAAAAGCAGAAAGAACAGCTGAAAATATTTCCAAATGAAAGCCTAACTTAGAGAAAGCCTGCGGGCTGAGTATAACAAAGAAGATGCTAAATCACAATGAAAAGTGTCCAGCCATAACTATAGTAATCGCCTGAAGTTATTTTATCGATTGTAAAGGTCCAATTCAATTATCATGAAACCGCCCATCAGTTGCAAGCATGCTAGTCACAATAGTCGTTTTTTTTTTTATTCATAACCTCACCAAACAAATAGTTCCATACTGTCAAACTTTTAAGGCATTTGTTGCCTTGTTGGGGAGGGCAGTGGACCACTCGTTGATTCAGTTATGGGCCGACCCACCTAAAGGCCGGGGGGCAATTGCCTCCCCTCAATTTTTTTTCTTTATTATATGATTTTTTAGATAATTTGTCCCATCTATATATTTTTTAGTCTTTACTATAAGAATTAATTTTTAGGCAATTGCCCTATCTAAAAGTTTTAAAATACTATATTTTTTAGACAATTGCCCCAACATAATTAAACACATTATGTAGAGATGTTATTGTTAGGGAATGATGAACCAAATATAAAAAGAAATAGTAAAGATAATCTAAAAATATCTTTACAACCAAAATATGTTCCGGGGTAGCCGGAAACCCACACAGGAGTGCTGCTCCTTGACCCTGCAGTCGAACCCTGCCAGGGGGCGCTGCCCCCTTGGACCCCCGACATATCTGCGAAGCGTACAACCATGAACAAATAAGGGTCGAGAGACAGTGCATTCGGAACAGATTTTAATTGTAAGGATATTTATGAAAAAAAAAACTCAACACTTTTACTAATAAATTTACCCCTTTAAAAATTAAAGCTGAATACGTCCTTGAATTCAGTGAATGCTACTTCTTCAAATATGGAGGATGGACACATCTCACCTTGACTTGTTGGTTGAGAGCTTATGCTTCCAACTAAGAGGTCTTGGGTTCGAGTCTTTGTGTATACGTTGTGTGTATGAATTTGACTTAAATGGCCTAAATGTCCCAAAAAAAAAAAAAAATATGGAGGATGGCTGCCACATATTGATGGAGTCCAAAAACTTCTATGGCATGAGTACTAAATAATGCATATGATAATCTGCCCCAACCTAATAAGCCTGCCATAACTGTTACCCGTTACTGTAAGCTTCCGTGACACGACGGGTTTGGAACTTTCCAGGAATGGGGCAAAGTTTAATTTATTGCAGCTACCAGTACTGCAGTACAGTACACCACACGACGTGTATGTTCCTATCCATAAAGGACAGGGCATAACCAAACCAAACAGGGACTATGCGAGCCTTAAAAAAAGGACTGTAGCTGATGCATCCTCAAAAAACTATCTAGATCGGGCATGAATCTCGAGAAAAAATCAAGTCGGAAACTTCCAAAATTAAATTTGGGATCATCCGAACTCCGATTTCAGCAAACTTACAGCCGAACTGAACATCTCGAGAATATGAACTCAACGACACCAAATTCGACTCAATCCGAGCCCAAATGGGTCCAAAATCAAGGACCCGAAGTGCTGTTGGAAGGTTCGAACCACAATTTGGCCTACCAAACGGTTTACAAACGTGACAGACATGCTTATAGTCAAATTGAGCGGCTCGACAAGACAAATCAACGAGCCCAAGATCATTGAATTCTGAAATAACTAAGACATTAAAATCCCCAACAAACGGTCCATGATCAAGGGATTCAACATCGGCCGTCCATCCAAACTACTCCTCATTTATTCTTGATCTTCCTCCTATTTACGGGTCATGCTACTCTAGAATATCTATAAATAGACCCCTTCATTCCTCTTGAAAAGGGGCCCTAAACAAGGCACTTTTATTTTATCCAGTGAACGTACGCAGAGGAACGTTCGGTTTTAGGCAAAAAAAACGCCTGTACCGAGTACAGAGTACCGAGGTGTACCGAGTTTTTTCAAAAAACTCGGTACAGACGCTTTTTTGCCTAAAACCGAACATTCATCTGCGTACGTTCACTGGATATAATAATCGCTCTTGCCTCCTTGCTCCTCCTGGACCACTTGACGCCTGGAGTTCCGCTGGACCACCACCTGACGCCTAGAGTTCCACCGGGCCACCAACAGACTCCTGTAGTTCCGCTGGGCCACCACCTGACGCTAGTGCTCCGTCGGACCACCACCTGACATCGGTGTTCCACTAGACCAACACATGATGCCGTTATGCCGGACCACAACCTGACGCCCGGTGTTCCACCGAACCACCACATGATGCCCGGAGTTTCGCCGGACCACCACCTGATGTTTAGAGTTCCACCGGACCACCACTTAACGCCCATAGTTCCACCGGCGGAACACCACCTGACGTCGGTGTTCCGCCGGACCAACACATGATGCCGGTGTTCCACCGGACCACCACTTAACGTCTTGACTCCCGTCGGACCACCGTCTTACGACAATGGTCTTTCTGACCCCTATCTCCTACCAACTACGGTAATTCCGACCTCCGTCTCATACTATGGTCCTTCTGACCTTCACCGCCAGACAACGGTATTTCTAACCCCTGTCTCCTGCCGACTACAATCCTTCCAACCACCGTCGCCTGCTGACTAAGGTCCTACCGACTAAACAAACATATCAATACTGGTTCTCTCAATTTCTACCTCATAATGCATTCTATGTGATGTATATCTGTTATATCAAGCTAAGACCTTCCCTCCAATGAAAGGCCTCATTTGTAATCGATTGCAAATAATAGTTGATTCATTCAAACTGGGTCAGACCCCGTGGGTTTTCCCCCTTTTTAGGGGTTTCCACATAAGATCTCTGGTTTCTCTTATGAATGCTACACAATCTATTTTATATGCTTGTGTGTTGGATCTTCATACAAAGCTAAGACATTATATTTTATATTTCTCTACCGCCGTGAATATTCCAGGACGCAACAGTAGCTATTTCTTTTCCTTTTTAACATAGAAGTGCTCTTATCAATTACAAGCGACATTTGTTAAATAGGAGGAAAGGAACAAACAAATAAAAAAGTAACAACTTGAAGGTAAACTAATAAACGAGTCCTTCCTTATTTTACGCTTAAAAAAAAAAACTAGTGAATCTAAAGACAGGAAGGTGCTCGTGAATGCTCAAGTCAAGTGGAGAACTCAGTGAGAGTCGGCAGGAAACAGAGGTGCAGGCAAATCATGACCTGAGGGTTGGGCGGGTTCAGGGGTGCATGCGAACAACGTACAGAGGATGGGTGGAATAAACAAATCAGGCGGATCATGGGTAGGATCAGGTCATGACACAACCCGACATAACTGAACCTTACCAAACTTTAATAATGACAAGAAAATGTATAAAACCTTTTGTAATTCTCATATGAACATTGGCTGGTTCAAGTGGGTGAGCTGCAATCCACTTACTTATAGGGACCATTCACCGCAAAATCCATAAAACTTAATGCACAAACACATTTGAGGTCACCCACTTATAAAAATTTGCATGGACCTGAATTATATGTTAGGTGAAAAGCAATAGGCCATGGCAATGTACCAACCCCATATTATAAGAATTTTTAGTCCATAGATTCCACTCCCGCAATCGAGCTGATTTTATCATGACATATTTTGAAGATAAAATAAAGCGAATGAAAAGCAAAGTTACAAAGTGCTAACGCTATAACTACCCAACTTATGACACGCAAATGATTAGATGAATTAGGCATGCAGCCATGCAGTCATCACTTAACTAATGGAGAAATTATTAGGTGCGGCTATCGGAAGAGAGAATCGTCCGGGTTTCTTTCTATCTACAGTAAAAGATCAGTTATTGTAACAGCTACGCTTTGACTGTGTTTTCACTGTAGACAGAGAGAAAACTGGACAGTTCTCTCCGTCCAATATCCGCATCTAAATATCTAATAATTTGCCTAACTAATGGGGAAATTATTTTAATTCTTTCAAAATTATTTTTTTTTTTAAAGTTTCAAGTGTCAAAATGTAAATTTAACATACGGGGATTTAATGCACGACCTCAACAAAAACTACAGAAAATATTGAACAACTGAACTGATAAGATCCCAAAATTCAAATATGCTGCCATGACTGATCTAAAAAGCATCAGAAACCTTGCAAAATCTAATAAATTCTCAGTAGAAGTAACCAATCATGAAAACCACCAAGAAATAAGCTAAGTAAAACTCTCAGAAGAAAATCTGTCAAAACTCAACATAATAATAACTGCATACAATCAAACATACCTTTGGTTCTTAGTTTACAGCAACTAGAATTAATCAACCAGCCTACCATAATTACATGTTCCTCTCCATCAATCCCTATTTATCTATTCTTCATAAAATTCCTCCCTATAAATCCCATTTACTTTCTCATTCTAACAATATAGATAATATAAAACACAAGCTAGCATCATAAATTTGAACTTGTGTTACTATAGATGAATTAAAAGATACTGCAAGCGATAGGTAAAAAGATTCAGAAGAAAGATCTCTTTGAAGGCGCTCTACCCACCGCCCTCAACAAATTAGCAACTTCCAGCACTCTAGCCACCTTCATCCCCCTCTTCGCCTCCGCCGAAGCCCGCTTATCCTCCGCTTTGCGATGCGCCCTCGCAACATCATTCTGCATCTTCTCCATCGCCCTCGCCCTCTTCTCCTCCAGCTTCCTCTTCATCACCATCCAAAATCTATCAATTCATACTAAAAAAAATCAATATTAAGGCGGGGGTTAGTCGACACATACCTCAATTTTCTTGAACAAAGCAGTCGCCCTCTCAATCTGCTCGCTCTCCCAGCCGTTGATGGTGACATCCACCCTCTTGAACCTGTTGTTGACCTTGGCGATCTCGGCCCCCTGCCATGCCAAGATCTTGGCATTCACCTCATCCTTCTTCACGCGGTGCACGGAGACCTCATCAGCCACGGACGAAGATGAAGAAAACGGGCGGCGAGGGGAAGGGAAAGGAGGATTTGTGTCTGGGACGATGGCGAGGGGATTTGTCTCCTCCAGCACGTCCTCGCCAATTCTACCCAAGTTGCTGCTACCGTCGGCGGCCGTTGTATCGATTTGGAGATTCGAGCCTGCGACAACCATGGCGTTGAACTCGCGGCTCATAGAGGTAAAGTTCTCAACCTCACTGCCGACAGAGAGAGAGGTGGAGCGATGGCTGGCGACCTCCCAAGGGTCTCTGGTTCGGCCGCGGGTTGGTGGTGCCTGCGGAGGATTTAGTGCGTGGATTTCGCGTATTTCCGTGAATTCATCAGCAGCACCAGCAGTGGAGGCGGAGGCGGCGGCGGACGAGGAGATGGCCCTGGGATCCTCAGACATGTTAGAATAGACGAGGAGTTGTGGGTATTCTTCCGGTCCTTGGCATTAATAGGAAATAGGGCTATCACCGTGATTGACGTTGGTTCTGTTTGTTAGGGATTGGAGAAGAATTACAGTGGAGAAGATGGACAAAGATTGGGCAAGTAAGAAAAAGGAGCGACAGACGCCGCGGATGTGGATGGCGTGGCACAGCGGAGCTAGATCTTAAAAAGTAGATGGGGCAACAGCACAGTATTCACTGCTGAGTGTGTCTCCTATTTTAACTTGTTTTCTTCGAAGCTTCAAGATTTGTATGCTTTTATGGAGAGAAGGATAATTTTCCCAAAAAAAAAAAAAATTTTTTTTTTTTGGATTTCCGAGGAACTTGACTCAACCCTGCTGACCAAAAAGGGTGAGTCGGATTAAGCTTAGAGAGATTTGATTTAAAGGAGAAAAAAAAAGAGAAATCTCATTGAAGAAGAAAAAAAAGTTCTTAGATTTTGATTTAAAGACAATCATAGAAGTGAAACAAATGGTATGGCAAAATAAAAGTTGCATTAAAAGGGATAGTTGTCACAATATCGTTTTTCTTGATTATTGTTGAGTCCTGGAATATTTGTGGCGTTAAAGAAATATAAAGTTTAATGTCTTAGTTTTGTACGAAGATTCAACATGCAATTTGATAAAAGAGAGGGTGTGGCGTTTATAAGAGACATTAGAGTTTTTATGTGAAAAATATTGAAAAGGGGGGAAAAATCACGAGGTCTAACCTAGTTTAAATGAATACACTAGTATTTGCAGTTGATTATAAATGAGGACAATCCTTGGTGGGAAAGGCCTTGGTTTGATGTAACAAATATACATAATATAGAGTGCATTACATGGTGGAATTGGAACAATCAATATCAATATGTTCATTTGGTCGGCAGGATTATAGTTGGCAGGCTACGGAGGTCGGAAGTATTGTATTTGGGTGACGGTGGTCGGAAGGACTGTAGTCTGCATTTGGACGAAGGTTAGAAAGATTGTTATTAGGCGACGAAGGTCGGAAGGACCATAGTCGGTGGACAATGGAGGTTAGAAAGACAGTAATCTAGTGACGGAGATCGGAAGGACCGTAGTCGGCGGGTGACAATGTTCAAAAAGACTGTTGTTTGGTGACGGAGGTCAGATAGATTGTTGTTGGCAGACGACAGTGGTAAGAAAGAATGTTGTTTGGCGATGGAGGTCGGAAGGATCATAGTCGGTGGGAGACAGTGGTTAGAAAGACCATTATTTAGCGACAGTGATTAGAAGGATTGTAGTCAGTGTACGACAATGGTCAGAAAGACCGTTTTTTGACAACGGAGGTCAATTGTAGTCAACAGGCGACTGAGGTCAGAAGGATGGTAGTCTGCGGACATCATCACAGCGGGGCTTGCACGTTAATAATGATAAAAGTTACAAATACTTAATAGATCATAAGCTCACTAAAGGGACATCATTTGAATAAAAACCTATGAGCTTTAGATCCAACTAAATACATAACAAAAAAAAATCACAAGAAATGACAAAAACAAGTAAGTAGTAGAAAACCAATGCATAAAATAACAGCTCCCCAGCAACCTTCCACGAAAAGCACCCAAGCTACCCGGAACAAAGTCCAGAAGGTGGAAACAACCTGCATAAAACATGAAGAAAAAAAAGAAACCGACTATGAGAGGGAAAATCTCCCCCACAAATTGCAGAAGGGTCGAGCAGAACAACCCGAGCCCAAAATCAAACCAAATAGCCTGGCACAAGACAACTCCCTAGCTCACCCAACAACAAATACCACAAGCTAAGCAAAAAACAAGCCACAACCACAACAACAAAAGAAAAATTTCTTCGTAGATTTTCTCCCGACGTTAACTGACAAGCAAGAGAGCTTTATCAACCATCTGACAAATCCTTAGATCGTATAATTTCTGAAGCGACTCAACTTGTTCATCACCAAAATTATCACCATCCACACTAGATGGTGAAGGAGATATAACATCCTGACCCGAAAGCCTGAAATAAGTGTCACCTAAAGTAGAAACAAATTGAGCAATCAAGCATTTAGGGGACATAACCCCTATAGACACATCGACAAGGGATTCCACAGACCCACCAACCAAAGGCAAATCGACAACACCAGTATTTCCAACAAGAGAGGGCAAAACTGACCCCTCTAAAAGAATAGACGAAAACACACTATCATCCGAAGTAGAACAAATTTAAGTTTTTCTTGCTACCACACCAATCCCCTACATCTCCACATCTTTCACAGCCAAAGCACAACCCCCACATCATCAGAGCAAATTAATGGCATATCCAACGTCTCTAGGGCCTTAACAAGAGGCGAAATAAAACCACCATGACGAAAAAAAACAACACCACATTAATCCTGAGAAGAATCAACCATGTTCCCATGGAACCCATGATAAAGTATAGGAGGAACAACAGCCTTTTTTCTCTTGATCACAAATAAGATATTGGTTTTCTGCCATATCACCTAAAGTATCCCCACCAGAAATAATGTGAGGGTTAATATTAAAACCCTGTAGATCCTACGAATGAACATCAGTTGTGATCCCCTCCTTGACAGGAGGAACAATACCTTAATTCAGAAAGAGGATCGGGCAACAATCCTTTGAATGGTCCAAAGATTTACAATGAAAGCAATACACAACAAATTCTTCCATTTAAACTGATTGAATGTAACCAATAGTCTTCGACCCAAGCCAGACTTGAGAAGAATAATGTTTTGTAACATCTAATTCCACTAATATGATTGTTACAGAGGGCTTAGAGACATTAGTAGTTGCATTATCCGTTCTCAATGTCCTACCAAACAACAACCCAAAGCCATGAAGAATTCCAAGAGAGAAAAGATGAGGGCGCAGATAGGGGAAAGAAACCAGAATGGGGACAATGGGAGACTCCACATTTATGACAAAATGTGGAGTCCATTTAAAAAGCTTCATGAAGTAGTTGCTCACAAAGTAGGAGCGATGAGAGAAAACCCTACAATAATCTAAATCATTGACAAGCTTAATCTACACATTTTTAGGATTCCACAAAGTAACCGAGAAATCCATAGCAAGATTTAGATTAAAAAAAAATTATGGATCATATCAAGCAGCGGGCGACAGCCCAGAAACTTTTCGATTAAAGCAAACTAGCTCGAAGGGTATTACAAGAGAGCATTTCCTCATCAGAGATTAGCAAAGCCGACAATCCATGTTGAGAAGACACTTTGAGTGGGGGAAAGTCCGGTGAAGCTGACTCTCCGGATAAACCATCTCTAAAAGACCTAGATTTAACCTTCCCATCAAAAAACCCAGGATCTTTTAACTTATTCACAGCCATAGGAAGGAAACTGGTAAAGAAACACAGAAAGAATTAGGGAAGAAAGGTTACCCAACCGAAGCAGCAGACGAGGGAGGAAAAAACCCTGGGCATCGCAGACGGACAGAGGGAAATGTTATAAGGACTTTATTCTACACATCTCAACTTGGCCTTACTCTTAAGATGTTTAATTTGACTATAACTTCATTAAAAGGTTCAATTCGAATATAGATATATCAAGTATGTTACTATGCTTGTTAATTAGCCTTTAGGATAACTAATTTTGATGCAGTAAGTTTTTTTAATCATGAAGAAATTTTAAAGCCTGCTCGATGATGAAAGCCAATGATCACCGTCAAGAACTATCTTCACTTAACTACTTTTGTCCAACCTCCATAATTAGATTATATTATCTTAAGCATCGTTGTCCAACTATGATCTATTTACTACAATCTATTGACAATCATCGCTTGACTACAGTCTCTCAATCACCATCATCTATCTATTATGTCATGTCGACTTTATAGCCGAAAACGATGAATGTTATCCTTTTATACATCCCATACATGATGTTGACGCCAATACCAACACCAGTTCATTTCATCACTCATCATCACCAATAATAATGTTGTATGTCATCATGTATAAAGTTGAAATATGCCGTTGACTTATGCAATTATCTATAAAGTTGATGCACGTTATTGCACCAAGGTTGACACCCGCCAACTTCTTCATCTGTCATCACTCACAACATCAATGGACATTATTACTAATAAGCCCGATATGCGTTATTGATGCCAACTTTGATATCTAACATCAACACAATAATTAGACTACACTTCTTGATCATTGCCTTCTCTTCATGATTAATAGAGCTCAAAAGATCTTTTAAGGATAACTCTAATGCCTAAATTCTCTTCTAACTTTTAGTCTTCCACTATAAAATCAAGCCTTAATTATTCAATGAAATTATTTTAATTGGGCCAAACCTCATTTTCTTTTATTTCTGAGTTTTAAAAAAACAAAAACACTTTACAATCGCATGATTTTAATTTCAGAAATTTCTAACAATAATTTAGTAATTTTCTGACTTATAATAAATTAAAATAAAAGGCCGTGCTATTTTTGTGGTAATGGATCTATCAATTTGATCCATAATTGATCATATTTATATATTTATAAAAATATCTCCATGACCAATTCAATCCAATTAAATAAAATAATTTATTTTATTAATAAAATATTAATTTATAAGTTAAAAATGACGTTTAAAATTAAATAATATTAAATAAAATTTTAAAACTTTAAACTTTTTTTTTTTAATGTTGAAATTCTCAACCCCTAAAAGATTTCAATTGATATAAATTAAACTCTTCCATGAATTAAAAAAAAAAAATCTTAAATGAAAATATCTTAGCCTAAATTATTTACTATAATAATTAATAACCTCGCCGGGTACCCGCCATCTAAAACTCACACGTGGTGGAATCTCAGACGACACCAAATATGTACAGAACACGTGCCTATTGTGGGCCAGCCAAGTGGGACAACCTGAACTCGTGTGACATCATGGCAATCGTAAATGCGGCACTTCGATCCTACGGTTAATAACCCACCACGTTGCCATAAATCAAGCATCGCTCTTAATTAAGTGATAAGGATAACATAAACCATAAATAAAGAGAGAAAGAGAGAGAGTGAAAAAGCAAGCATCTTTTGCATTTCAAGCTTTTGAATTAAGTGGACAACCAATAGCAATACAGCACCTGGGCTTAAACCGACGTGTCCTTTTCTCTATGATGGAGACATGCTCTTTGGAGTTTTGCTCCGTGGATGTGATCTAATGACAAGTGGGAGAAGGCGGATGAAATGGTGCCACGTGTGGTTAGTTAGTGTGTTTTTATCTGGAAATACTGGCCGAGA